TTCCTAGTGAGTGTTGATAAACATGCAATTAGTCTTCTTTCCAGCATTTAGCCAAACCAAACCAACTTAACACACCCTTAACAACTGAAGATACTAAGAAAGTGTGTAGAATTGGGCTTTCCCCCCTCTGAATCAAATTTAAGGCTGGAGTTAAATAAGATGCTCAGCACTGGTGTGCTATCATGGAGGTCTTATTCAGATCTACTCCACTCCAGTTTTATTTAGATTTATCTCTTATCTGATAGCAAATGATATGAAGAAGAATAGGGAAACTATTGAAATGAATTATCTAAACAGTTATAGATTGAAAAGAATTAAGTGTATGTTGCCACTTAACTTCAGAAGCTCTGTGATAAATATCATAGTTTCATTTCACTATATTTCTTTATTGACAGGATATTTGCAGAAATATCTTACGCGGCAGTCTTTAAGTGGCTTTGGTTTGGAGTGGATGTTTTGGGAGAAGACAAGAACTGCAGTGGTTGGGATAATGATACAAAATGGCTGAAGGTTTTTTTCCTGAGTTTGAGAGGGAGTTAAAGGATGTGTCAAGATGATTTTATGGCTTAATTTATAGTTTTCGTGTGCCTAAAATAAGTGTTTAAAAAGATGGATATTCAGTTGTTCAGTTTTGAAAAGTCATGGTCAGAGAGCATTTGCGAGGCTATGACAAAGGAAGGGTTCAGGTCCTGGTGTAGTCCTGGGAGGCAGGTTGCCCATCCCTGTCATAGGGCCATAGAAATTGAAGGAATCTCAAGGATAATCTAACGCAGTATCTTGCTTTTCTGGGTATTTGGACTTTAGCTAAAGTCCAAAGACTTTAAAGACTTATTCACAGCTAGGCAGCAATACCTAGCCAACTTTGGCTAATCTTGAAAAGTTAAGCAGCATTGGACCTGGTTCATAATATAAGCTAGACTGAGAAGGAAAAAAATTCCCAGAAGGCACTGGGAAACCACTTCTATATCATTGTAACTGGGAAGTGACCAGGATTCATGATCGATCAATTAGAGGGGATCTTACCTTTAAAGGTGTGAATAAGTAATCATTTGTCATGCAATAATAATCATCATAATAATTTTACAATTGATTACAAACAACGGCATGACAAAGTAGCAACAATGGTGTATTGGAATATCTCCAAGAAATACCATTTGCCTGCAAGCAAGACCTGGTGGGACCACAAAAACAGACAAAGTAATAGAAAATGAAGAAGCTAAGGTGCTCTGGGACTTTAGAAGTCAAACAGACAAGCACCTGCCACACAACACCCCAGGCTTTACAACTGTTGATAACACAGACAAAAAAGTCTGGATAGTGGACATTGCAGTACCTGGAGACAGCAGAATAGAAGAGAAAAAACTGGAGAAAATCACAAAATACAAAAATCCACAAATAGAAGTAGAATGACTGTAGCAAAAGAAAGCAAAGATAGTACCAATAGTAATAGGCGCCTTGGGTGCAATCTGAAAACATCTGGAGCACCATTTGAACACCATCAGCATTGACAAAATCACCACCAGTCAATTGCAAAGGGCAGCTTTACTTGGAACAGCTTCCATCCTGGGATAATACCTTTAAAACCAACCCCACCATCTGCCTAACCCACGTCCTTGGGAAGGATTTGATAGGTGGACAAAAATGCTAAATCCAGTCTAAACATCTGGCTGCCTGCGTGACCACCATCACCACCAATAATAATAATGAGATTACTTTAAACTGTAGGTGAATACAGCATTCAATAGATCTTGATGTCCAATTTAATAAGTTATGTGAAATTTGAGTTATTTGTATTTGTATTTTTGGTGTAATTAAAAAAAGTTCAACCTGACATTGTCAGTTAAAAAAGAATAATACAATGAGAAAGATGTACCTTCTGGTTGAGATGCTGCCAAGTGCTGTAGACGAGAGTAGTCTAAATACGCAAATAGGCTGAATTATTTTACTATACAGTATTACTCTGAAGTTTCTACCTAGTGTGCAGCAGCAATTCTGCTACAGCCACACTTTCAGTGTACAGTGAACCCTGAATCTAGTCCAAAACATACATATTGATTGCAGGCAGGGTTTGAAGGTGGATAAGAATGGGATTACATCTACTAGTATCCCCTCATCTACTCCATTAGCCTCTTTCAATGTAACTGGATTTCGTGTGTGTGTGTGTTTGAAACAACTTATATTCACTGAGGTTTTGAAAAAATGCATAAAAGATAGGAATATGGATCGGAGACATTATCCCAAACATTCAGTAGCATTTGCATAATCCTACTAATCTTTGATTTAGAGACAAAGCTTCAGTATTCAGGTTACATCACTTGAGCTGGTTTTCACAGTTCTAAAGTTTTGGTTTTGTTACTTACTAAGGTTTTGTTTGTGAAGGCTTTTGAAAACATGACACCTAAATCTATTACAGTTATTTTTCATAGCTTTTGGGGAGGTTAAAAGGTCATAAAATTAGAATAAACACTGTGTTTTTGTCTCTCTTTTTCCAGCTACAAATGTATTCTGTTAAATTGTATGGATTCTCTGATTCTCTGTGGAGTTTTATGACGGAACTGTGTAGTGTTGACAAAGCAAACACAGTTTAGTGGTGCTTTTGGGTTATCTGTAATTGAGACGACATAGCAATGAACAGGAAGAAAGGCTGTAAGGTGATTGAATGAAACAGGAACTCTGTACTTCAGCTAAGGTATCTAAAGCAGCTAATCAAATATACTTTGTTGTACTTTTTTTTTTAGCTATGTCTTCTGATAAATTAGAGGAAAGGTTTTCCATTTATCTTATTTATCCAGATTCCAAGCTAGTCTAACTTTGAAGAGTATTTATTATTGTTTTAGTGGTATTTTATTGGTGATTAAGAATATTTCATTATCAGAAATCAAAGGAAATAGCTTTTCTGCTACTTTGCTGAAGAAACACTCTGCACACATTATTTCTTGTAATAAATCTCCAGTGATTTTATACTACAATTTTATATTACATAGATAAATCATAACAATGTCCTTTTATTTAACCCAACTCTTGATGACTGCATCCATGCGATTCTTCTGGCAGGATAATTGAAATGGCTTAGCACTACATTCTTTTGGATCTTTTTTAGTTCCTAGTTTAGCACATTATACTTGCTGAGATTTTCTTAAATTGAAATATTAAAAAAACAAGAATTTCTAATGTAGATTTGAATAACCCAGTTTTTATTGACAAACATACTATAGAAGTTATGATTATTAAATAATATGCCAGGAGAACTTAATCTAATTTAACAAGAAGAATGTGTCATATATCAGATAAATACAGAAGATTGAAAAAAAATGGTTTATCTTGACTTCACTGAATAACAGTAATAAAAGGAAAAAGTGTAGGGCTTGCTGAAGACAGACTTATCAGTAAATTCACACAGGTTACTAGCCACTAATATATTTTTTTTCTCTGATCTTCAAATTTACATTTTCTTAAAACCTAGGATATGCTTCTTCGGTATGGGTCACGTAGTATAATCAAAATATTGACCCATCTATTGCAAAATGTCTACTAGAGTAACTTCAATTAGTATAGGAAGGAAATACAGATCTTTGCTAGATGTTATTGAACAATAAAAATTATCTCAGGGTTAATGTTTCATATATTATGCTACTTTTGAACAATATGTGTTTCAAAATGAGGATCCTATAGCATAAAAAGTTTAGAAGATTCTGAATACTTTTATTCGTATGGTTTTTGTTAAAAAGAATTCCAAGATATATGGACATGGCAAGCTTACGAAATAAACATGAGTAATAGAAAAATCTTTTTTAAAAATCTAGGAATTCCAGCCAATCCAGACATTTCACTTACTTCTTCAATGGCTTATTATGAATTCCTTGAGCTAAAATAGCAACATACCCAGTAGAATATGAATTCATACACAGAAGCCTGATAATGCAATTAAGAGTCTTTTGGAGTGGGGGCCATAATAAATCTAATGAAGAAGAAAACAAGGAGAAGAAGAAGAAACAACATTTGTTTTCAATGTGCTTACAGGATTTTTCAACAAAAGGAAGTTACACAGAACATTGTTCTTCTACTTTGAGGGCTGGGAGGTACAGCTGTTGGTTATAACAGAATGGTTGCATGGAAGTATTGTGGCAATATGCAGATACGTAGTACTGAAACTGTTTACACTAGGTGTAGCTCAAAACAGTTCCCAGATGATTTCTACAGTAAATTTGGCATTCCGTTTTGTTTGGACATTATGGATGTCCAAACAAAACAGGTTAATAAGCCAGATTTTATGTCCATATATATGGATTCAAAGGACTACTTTTGAGAAAGGCAGGAGATAAAGGCACAACAGAAAGACCTCACAGAATTATTGTAGTATCTGTGTATTCTTTATTTGTTGTTAGGAGTTGCAATCTCTCCCCCTGTCCTTTATACATTTGTGTGTTGTAGTGTTTTTTTCTTCCAACTCATATTAAGTGTTTACCATTTGATAAGAATTTGTACATGTATATTGTCTGGATTGGTATTTCCCTCTAAACTTCTTTTATAACAATTTTGTGGATCAGAGGTTAGTAGTTTTCTTTTTGTGTAGACAGGCAAAGATGTACTAATGGATTTTTTGCATCACTTAATTTACAATCAATTAAAGTTTTGCTTGTTTTTTGCAATTTTTGTCTAGGCTGGCCCTATAATCATTTTGATTATCGGCATTAGAAAGACTTGTAAAATCAAGTTAGCTTTTTGCAGCAAATTTGGGAATCTGAATGTTGATTTTTTAAAAGCTCTGCAAAAGAAATCTAAAAATAAAGAGAGCTAGAAATCCCTACTGATAGATGATTTCTTGAAATGTTGTTTATATGCAGTTTCGCTGCAGCAGTTTCCTCTTGGTCTACTTGTACTCATTGAAGTGTCTGAAGATAGCCATGCGCGTGATTACTTTTCTGTGTGCAAGTAAAAATTGTTTTGATGAGATCCAATATACATGCAAAATTAATATTTGTTTTTCTCTCTCCATAAAGATGGCTACAATCTTAATGTGCTGCCTCCAGTGATGGTGGGCACAGCCCGCAAGAAAACAGGGACGAACCTGCATAGAGAAGACAGACACTTCCTCTACTGTGGAATCAAAACAATGGAATTGTCAGACAGTGACCGACCAGTGAGCTTCAGCTCTACATCGTCCTCAGCATCCTCCAGGGATAGCCACTGTTCTTGTGGTAGCAGAACAACCTTGGTTTCAAACAGTCATCTGGGTTTGTTCAATCAGGATAAGGAAGCAGGGGCCGTAAAGTTGGAGCTGCATCCAACCCAGCAATTTTCCAGCAAGGAGCTAAGAAAAAATAACCCTATCAAAGAACAGCTCTCTGATGGAAATCTTGGAAGGAAGCCAAATATGCCACGAAGACCTGAATCAAAAGAAAATAAAAATTGTGTCATGTCACTGATTGTTGAGCCTACAAGTCCCAAGCTCCTGTATGTTGACAGAGTGGTCCAAGAAATTCTAGAGACTGAAAGAACATACGTGCAGGATTTAAGAAGTATTGTGAAAGTAAGTATGTCTTATTTAAATTCGGCCATAATGTAGAATGTGTAAACTGAAATTAACATAGAAAGATAATAGGATCATGTAATTCTCTCGAGGGTTTGTAATAAATTGGTTGCTGTGGGAAGCACAGGCAGCTTGAAATGGATACATGCTCTGTCAGTTAAAATATTGAAACAGCAGCATAGTTCTTATTTGCAGGGTCATCTTTCAGGCAGACAGTGTGCATTTCTGATAGCTTTAATTAACTAATAATTAAAAAAACACTTTTAGCTAAATAGTTCTTTTTCAGGTTTTATTTTGGCTGATGTTTCATCATGTGATCCCACAAAAATCTGAATACGTTATGAATTGTTACTATTACTTATAGTTAGCCTACACATAGTACTGATAGTTGTTACTTTTCAAATTAATTGCCATCCACATAAAGCATAATCAGTTAGCACTAATGAGTCTGAAGATGATAAATTAAGGCTTCTCCTTTCCAGCTGCAATCTCAGGAAAAGTTGCCCATTCTGTTACAGTTTATATGAAAAAGAAAACCCTTATTAGCACCAGTGAGAGAATCTAATGCTAAACCTCTCATGCCTACAAGCTGCAGTAGGAAGGATTGTCATCCCTGATATTATTATTTTTTTGAAGTTATCTGTATTAATTATGCCAGATGTACATGAACCCTAGAAAGGTACTTTCTGGGGAACAGTCTTTACTACCTTGCTTCTTGCAAGTAGGCTAGGATTTTCTCAGTCTTACAGCTTTCTCATTAAATGGGGCTGGTAAAAGATGCTTCTTGATTTTCTGTTGTAGCAAAAACCTCAGATCTTTGGAAGCTGGAAACCTGAAGGTCCAATGGAAGTGAAAGTCAGGGATTGGCATCATCCCACTTTTGTTCACACAAAAATAACCAATGATCATTTCTTGTTCCTGGGTGATAAAATGTTGAATTTGAGACTTCTTTTTATATGATTCAAGATTTTAGAATGTATCACGGGTTTCTGTCAGTGAATAACCTCTTAACAATATTCTTACAGGTGGGGATAACACATTTATTTATTGCTTTGTTTTTTGTGATTCTTTGACCTGTTGTTCAGTGCAGACACAAATTTTACGCATAATCTGGAAATGTTATAATGTATGGCTTTGGGCAGTTCTCTTTTTAAGTACATCACTAATCTGGAAAAGTAAATACTAGTCTGATGATGCACACAGAAGCAGACAGCGAGGCAAAAAAGATTATCAGGATTTGATATACAAAGACATGTTGAAAAAGAATTAATCTGTAGAAACAAGTCTTTTCCTGCATATCTGTATTAGGTATCTTAACTGCTGGTAAGATCCATACAGAAAAAAGTTCAGATATCCTTCAAACAAAACTGAAATGAAGTGCTAAAGCAAGCAGAGCTTCTTACATATGGGATAAATATGGGTGGCATTTTAAAAGTTTAATACAGCCGACATAATATTTAAATGCCCTTATTCTCAATTTAAAAAATACCTGCTTACTAATGAATGATAAAATTATTCATCTGAACTTCAACAACCATGACAGTTTCCAGTTGAAAGCATAACTAGATGTTGAAATATAATCTTGATCAAAGAAGAAAAAAATTGAAATTATCATGATGCTATAATTTGTTCATAGGAAAATCTTACAGTTTTGTACAGGTTCCTAAACCCATGAATGTCTCTGAAATGTATGCCATTTCAGTAGCAACAGATTTTTAGAAAAGCAATGTTAATGTATTTAGAAAGTAGTGAAATGGTATAAAACGCTTTCTAAATACTGAGATTTTCTAACTGTAGTGGATTGGAAACCATCTTTTAAGCAGGAACAGGTTCTACAAATAGATACTGAAATACACTTTTTATTTTAGATAGAGACCTTGGATTTCAGTATCACAGTAGACAGTGATTACTGTTCTGTGATATAATTATATATTAACAATTTGGCTATTGTTTTATGTTATGTTTTAATTGTTTAATTGGCTTTGCATTATTTATTAGCTACCTTTTGTGTCATTAATTAGTAGAAAATTAAATTTATTAAGTAGTTACATTGCAATAGTAGCTCATATATGTTGGGTTCTTGGTGTTCTCTGAGTTTGCTGCTTTTCTTGCAAATGTTTCATTACTAGGCTGGGTACGTAATCACAAATAGTAGTGTTAACTGTTTATTTCTAAAGACTGATTGCCTGTTCTTAATTGCAAGTATATGAATATTCTTATTTTGATGGCTAGAGTTACTCAACTGATTCATCCATTCATTAAAATTTAAATGAAAATGGTGAGGAGATCAAGAATGCTTGGGTGAGGAGAAAAGACATCCTAGCACAAGTATTAATACAATCTATAGTAGATTAATTAAGAAAGTTCTGTTTTTATAATGGACAGTTTAATTTTCAGCAACTGTCCTTGGGTATTTTTACTTCTTTCCTTTCTGGAGTTTAAAAAAAGTATTTAAATTGTTAATATAAACAAATGGTCACTATAACTGTAATTATTTTCATTTACTGGGTGTAGTATTGATTGTGCCTTTTGTTTTTATCAATAGTTATGCTTTTAAGTTGTGTCATTTGTTTTAAAATAAATAGCTGATACTGTATAGAGACAGGAATAGTGACATGCAAAGAGAGGTCTTTAACCCCTTGCCTTGTCATGGCCCTAATTAAAATCACTGTTCACCCATACGTACTGTTTGCAATAGAAAATATACTCTGTTGTTGCCAGTGGGAACTTTCCTTCCTGTGAACAGCAGTGGAGAAAAGTTTCCAGTTAAAATTTTAGCAAAGAAAAAAGAATTAGATTCTTCCCTTTTTGGACAGTCCCTACTTTGGATCCTCCACATCACTGATACACATTCATGCATGCAAACGCAGAGCAAACTACAAGACAAATACCACATCTAGATTTGTTGCAGAAAATATTAGTATCTTAGCTTTTCTTTCTGGGAAAAAAAAAGCTTTTCTTAAAGTTTGGAAGCATACTGAAAGATGCAGAAGCATTAATATATGACTATAGTGAACTATAGAGAAACATTACATATTAGTATTTAAGACCTAATTTAAGATTAGTATTTTAGTTGTGGGATATGTCTCTAATATTTAACAGTAGAAACCGAGAAAAAGTGAATGAGGTTTTATGAGTGAACCGAGTTTGAGAAGGATGAACTGTGAGGAGAACTCTGCTGGTTTCATCAAGCCCATCACCCACCAGCCCACTATTATATAGTGGCCAGCTCTGAGAAATCCACAAACAAAGGCTACCTCTGTTCTGTTTGATTTTGTCTTGTACAGTATTCAAAACTAAAAGAAGAATATAAAGGGACAGTTACAACAGCTTTGAGTGATAGAGGGCTATGTTCTCAAGGGATTCAAAATTTAACTCATCTCCCTTCTCCTCCACATTGAACTTTGAATACAAATCCAGGGGATTAACGTTTTGTGTCCTTAACTGGTTGGATACAGGAATCTGCAATGAACTCCCCAAATATAATACTTCCTATATTGTTTGTGAATCTGTTACTTTTTATCTTATACTTCAAATGAGTTTCAGTTAATTCTAAAGTATCAAATCCTCTTATATAGATTGACATACTAAGCTTTCCCTATTTTGATTAGGGTTACAGGGTAGGTCAGTGCCACTGAGTCCCAGATTTCCCTAATATTTCTAAAATAACCTCTACCTATCTCCTATTGAGGACTAGGAAATACCAGGGACATACTTTTTACATATATTTAATCATGCAATTTAAAGCTAGTACCTAGAATCCACCTGGATTAGAATACAGATGGTTAAAGCATTTATTCATTTATAGTGGGGAAATAAAACATCTAAAAGAGATAAGTCATAAGATATAGATTAATAAATAATGGTTTTATCTGATGACTTAATACCACAGGCTCCAAATTCTATTTTACTTATCATTAGTCTTTTATTTATATTCCCCCCACACCAGTCTGCTCTTTTCTATTCCATTAACCTCTCTCATTCACTAATTGACTTCCTCAGGTGACTGTCACATATTCTGGTCCGTCCTGTACTGTCAGTCATCTTTGCAGTCTTTCTTGGGTTATTAGGGTAAGGGGTAAATATGGAGCTATGTTTTTGCTCTGGGGCGTATTACAGTTATAAGAATGTTTATAAGTTCCTCCAGATAATTTCCTTTCCTATATTTTTTAACTTTTTGTAGTCCAGTTAGTATGCTTAGATAGGAAGTGGAATGACCGAGGAAGATATAATGCTTTAGGCTCAGTATGCAGAGATTTTCCACCTATTTTTTTGTTACTGATGCTAAATGGATCACAGACGGGAGGGAGGAAGGAAGGAAGGAAGGAAGGAAGGAAGGAAAGGAAGGAAGGAAGGAAGGAAGGAAGGAAGGAAGGAAATGTGGCTCTGTTCCTGTTTTTAGGGTATTAGCTGCACATCTACTAATGGACTTTAATAAATGAAGCATACCTTTCTGTGGCCAATATTTTACATAGTTATTTGAACAAAGCAAAGTTTTGCGACATGATTCTTCATGCCCTGTGACCTGGAGGCCCTATCTCCCCCAAAATATTATTTTATTGCCTTGTGTGCATGTGTACATGTTTGTGTATATGTTTTCTAGTGCTGGGGATGAATTGTTGTTCTGTACTTAGTTAATCAAGTAAATATTTTATAGAAGTGTCTCTCAATCTCAGAATTCTGGGAGTTGAAGTCCACACATCTTAAAATTGCTGAGATGGAGAAACACTGCTACAGAAGCTTTATCCCCTGGATAGACAGCCATAAACACACTGAACATTATGATACTGGTATAATCAGCCAGTGCCTAATTAGTATATGCACAGTGGCATTTTCCATGATGTATTTAAAATTATTTGAGAAAAGATGAGCTATCTCCCTGCTCACATGTTATCTTTGAACACATGGACGTGTTTTTGCCTGCATCCCCCTCCATAGGACTGGTTATATGCTTAAATAATGATGGCTTCTAAAGCTGCAAGCCATTATAATGTATTACA